GTATAGCCTGTAAGATCAACAGAACTGATACAGGGGTGGTGCAATTACAAATGAAACACAGAAAAACAAGAGTGACAAGGACAAAACGTGCTGCAGTCCATCCCTTTATAGTATTTAATCCATTAAGGACTTACTGGCAGTGCAAGCATTTTGTGATAGCACAATGCATCTCAGTGCCTTCCTCCCCCTCCACAGCTCCTTACTGTTTGCTTGATGGCCAAACTACACAGTTTGATAAATAATTTTTACCCCATTTTCTCTACATAAATAAGTAGCAGAATAAGTAGCAAGGAAGGAAACAAAGACTCCAACTGCCAATAGAGCACAATGTCAAGTCACACCTAGGAACAGGCTTACGTTTTCTTTTGCTTTTAAAATTTTAATATTATTGCAGGAATGGGATATAAAAAGAAAATGCAGCAAGAAAGCTATGGATAACTCCAAAGGAGGTAAACTCAAGGCTACCAAGTACACAAAAACAACTTCAAGGACTTAACAGAATTTTTAAAACAAAGTTGTCTGGGGAGTACTTTTTATGTGCTTGCAGCCAGTTTCTAAGTGTGTTCCCTCTGCTGAAGGGATCATGTGCTTAACATATGTGCTTGCTCAGGATTAGGCAACTGACAGTTGTGCATATTGCAAAATATGCTGACATTCCCTAGCAGCTCTGCTGGAAGGGGATTATATATCCCAGTGATACCAGGCTGAGAGAGACCCTGGGAATAAGGAAACTGGCACATCTGAGTAAAGGGTCACTTAAAACACCAGCTTTGAATACTTCTACCACAAACCTTCCCCATCCCATTCTTCTAACACAGCTGCAAAGCCTAGGAGGAACAAAGGGCATCGACTGCAATGAAACTCTTCTTTCCAAGAAGCAAACCAGCCTTTCTGGCCACCAGCTGTAACAGCTCCCCACAGGCCCCCTGCCATCCCACAGGACCCCAGCAAGCAAGCGGGATGCTGCCTGCCCAGCTCCTGTACTGGAAGGCAGGGTGTGGGACTGGCAGTGCTGTGCCTGGCACACAGCCCCTACAGTCCCCATGCATCAGCAGCTCACCCCCCAGCAACAGGTTTGAAAGATAGCAGGAAAGAGAAGGCAATTTCATGTGAGAAATGTAACACTGGAAGTCTTGACTGCTTCTGACCATCACAGATCCTGCTAGGCTCTCCCTGAGAACAGTTTGTCTCCTGGACTGACTCCAGTTGGTGTAGCTGTGCTTACCAGGCAATTACACCTTCTGAGATTGCCCCGGCAGCTTTAATTTGCCACGGTGCTATTCACTTCCTTTGAAGTTGCCGTGGAATGTCACAGCACACTGACAAGCAGCTGTCATCTCTCACCCACGAGGTGGCTGCGTGGCAGTGGCAAGTGAAAACCATTCCTGTGCATGCACCGTGTCCTTGCCCAGGACTAGAAAGTGCTTTGGGGTTCCTTGGGGGTGAGCAATGCTATATAAGTGTAGAGTCATAGCTATCAAATATAGAATAGCTCACTGAAATGTAGCCAGGATGCTCTGGGTTATTTCATCTTTGAATTTAAAATAATCTTGTAAAAGTCTTCTGCCTCTGGTAGGTGAATAGAGCTTCATAATGAAGCTCAACAAAAATGAAGTGAGAACTATTACAGATTCCAGTCTGCACATATAACACACAGTGACAGTGTGTTTTTACTTGTTTCAACAATAGAAGAAAAACTGAAGATTATTGAGCTTCTTACCCATGCCTTTAAAGAAAGCATGAAGCAGCCATCTCTCATTTCCTCTAGCAAACCACTGAGGAATCCTGTAATATTAGGATTTTGTTCCAAAGAGGAATAAAACCTCTGTTACCAGCATAGCGGGCAACCAGCATAGTAGCGTTCATGGGTACTCCATGAATGGCCCTCACAGCCCACGAGGGTAATTCAGGCCCAAAGATGAGATCATTGTGAGATCCACTCAGATCACGACTGACTTCTGTAGAGAGAAACCCAATCCCTGAAGCATCTCCAGGTTCACTAACTCAGCCATTCAACTATGGACCATCTTGTGGCCAGGTCACTAAATAGCTCATATCTCATTTACAACAGACTTCTGACACCTTCAGGCATCTCTGCACAATCTCAAAAAAGAAAAATCAACAATAATCAACAAATCACCCCAAACCCCCACAGTGAAGCTAAAAAAAAAAAAAAAAAGCCATCATACTTTTATTAAAAAAAAAAAAAAGGTATTCTCTGGGTGGTCTATACAACAAAGAGAGATTCCAATTAATAATTGAAAATATGCTGTCTACCCAAATGACAGACCTCTGAAGTCAGACAACTTAATAAAATCCCTGGTAATCTTCATGCCACACCATCAATCAGCATCTTACAGCTTCCCCAGGTGCAAACAAAATCTTATGAAATGCCTGTTTTGCTTTGGAAACAACTTGGTGTTATGAACAATATTCATTAGAAGGGTGAGTGGTATCAGACCTACAAAATGGTGCTCCCAATACATTTCTGCTATTAATAGCATACTGATATACATTTACATAAGATTGTCTCTTCCTTCTAATTATTTCCTAAGGTAGACTTCAGCTATGAAATCAAAGGAGACTTTTTTGTCTAAAACTTTGTCAGGCTTATGGCCTATGAAGCCAAATTTTGTTTGGCCTGTGGAGCACTGGAAATTTTACTTTAAGGAAAACTTTATGCTCACAGACCGCAAAGAAACAACAGAACTAAAGTCCAAGCATTCTCTGAAACACTTATAGTCTTTCTTTTTCTTCAACATCTGACTAATTTTATCAAAACATTCAATTATTGAAACAGTTCTACCTGTCTGAACGCTGTTCCACCTACAGGGGACAAGCACAGACTGGCTTCCCATGGCAGTGGGTGACTCTGTGTGTTCCTAAGGTGCAAATGTTAAATGGAGCTCCTCTGGCACCTCGGATATTGTACCTCCTCCCACCCTGTTAATCCCTGGGCAGTTGCCATTCACACTGCTGCATTATCCTCCCTGTACTTTCCAGTTTTAGGGAACTCTGAGTCTTCAATGCCTCTTTTGCACACTGCTTTTATTTCAGGCTTCCCCAATATTTTTGGGGAGAGGTAATGGCTTTGCTTCTTTGGAACTTAAGCAGTGCATCTCAGAACCCTTCATCAAGACAGCACAAAGCTGACTTCCCCATGACCATTTCTGTCCACCAGCTTCTCTACCAGCATGGACTTTCTAAGCTTTGAGCTGTTCTGGAACATAACAATCAAAAATTCTCCACCTGGCTTTCCCTCTCACCTGCTTACTCAGTATCTCTGATGTAAAAAAAAAATAAATTCACATTATGCAAGAGCATAGGCATAGATTTTCAGAGCACTGCAGAATCAAGTATAGTTTAATTAATCTCTGTAAATCTTTCTCCTTCATTGACATCTTAAAAAAAAAACTATTTAGAACATTTGACTCCTATTAATACTAGAGCATGCAGTAGGATTTAGTAGTGAAACACCTACCGACATACTAAAAATGAGTGCAGTACTACAGAAACTCCAAACTGATGGGTGGTTTCTATGCAAGTTAAATAATTATTCATCACTTGGTGAGACAGAAAGTTATATCAAACATGAAGCAAAACCAGTCACTTAGAAAAATGCAGGATTATGACATGCCCACAAAAGCTTGCCTTAAGCATACATGCTACCAAAAACCTAACTTGAAAGAGTGTTGGGGCTTCTGTCGCTACTGTTCATTTTGAGGTTTTTTTCCCTTCTAATTCTAGCTAACTCAGAGAAGTAAAGCAATGCTAGAATTAAACTGATCTGAATTTTAAGAAGTCTTTACCTTGCCCTCATTAGCACTCACTGTTTGCCAGGAAAGTACAGCAACGACAGTGCATTGCCATCTTGAGGCTTCCTGCAGAACTGCTCAGCCCAACCAAAATACACCAACTTGTTACCAACTACAGCAGTCAGTCAGAAGTGCCAAAGCCATTATAAAACATGCAGCATTAACACTGTAATTTTTTTCTTTATTTTTGTGCCAGAGTTTCTATAGTTCCATTTTGGGACTGGATATAATTCTAAAGAGAGAAAACCCTTACATAGAACAAAACCAAACAAATAGAGCTATTTATCACAAATGATCCTGTCATGAAGACTACTCATCTCATAATATCAAGAAAAATCTGAAGCTACAGCTTAATTAATAATGCAGATTTCCCAGATCCTTTGAAATTACTACACAAGTTTAATTCAGCACCAGAGACTGATTCAGCTTAAAAAATTACCCCAAGTTAACTACTGCACGTAATTCTATGCCAACCTAAGTACACAGTTACACATACAAATGTATCTGTATTATCTAATTACATAGGAGTGCTCATAAAGAAAACAGAATGCTTTTCAGATATAAGACATTCTGGTGTGGGTTCAAAGGGTTAGAAATCACCAAAGTTCTTTTAATGGTAGTGGCTGTGTGAATTGTCTTTGTAAGAACTTTTACAGAGATCTCTGTAACTAAAACCTACACAATAACCTGGAACCCTGCTCAAATAAAACCTACAGATGTCAAATACATAAACGCTCTAAAGCTTCAGCTTCTTTTTTTTTTTTTTCAATTAATTAGTCCTTCTGAAAAGATCACTTGGAAAACACATGTATATGGATAATATTAACCTATGTTGATATTCCCACCTGAAATAGCATGGGAATCATGGGAAGCACCAGGATGAAACTGTGGGTTATATATACATATAATTGGTTGGTATAAATGTTTTTAATACAGGTGTGAGGCAAGTGATTTTGCTTGTTTGTGAGACCAATTACATCTATGAGGCTACTTACAAAGAGCTACTGGTTTACTAAAATGGCTAAATTGGTTTTTCTTCTCCTTTTTTCCAAGCAAACTGGCCTGTTCTCAAAACCCACAAACAGCCATTTGAAGCCTGTCGTTTTTACGCCCAAGGTGAAGTTTGTTTTCCTGAGCCATCCAAAGGCCTTTAGGTGAACAAGAAAAAGCCTCTCTGGAAGTTACCTGCTTGGTTTGGAGGCTGCCAGCCCTTGGCAGAACCCAGAGGTGCCGTTGGCTTGAGGACCGCGGCAGGTGCGGTGTTGGCAGGAGCAGGTCTCACATCCATGTTGTCCTGGCAGGCAGGGACGCTCCTCACCGGAGCAGGCTGGGCAGCTTCCAGGGAATCACTGTTCAGAAATGAGGGAAAAGTAAATAAACGCCTCTTGCTAGAACAGGAGAACTTGTGAAATGGAGATATGGAGTGACATTCCCTCACCCGAGTGCAACAATGCAGCACCCACTAGTCTGTCATCACCAACAATGCTGTGGTAGTTACACACTGAAGCTGCTTTCTAAGAACTGGACATTTGAGTAAGGTCTGCCAAAAGTCAATATAGTCAACTAAAGCCCTTCACAAATTTTCATTTTAAAAGAGTTATAAGTTTCTTTAGTGCTTAAAAAACATGCAAAATATTTTATATTGCCTCTTTAGAGCACTTTGCAGCTGCTTTTATATTTTAAGGGTTGGCAGAACTCTTTTAGCTCTTTAAAAACACACATGATGAAAACTGAACTTAATCACAATCCACAAGGAGTGCAAGTAGCCACTAATTACACCAATAGCAAGAAAATTTTTAATCTCTCTCTTGCCTTTGGGAAGCTGAAAATAAATATTTTTATTTAAAACAGTCAAAGTAGAGGAGTAATTACTAATAAAGGTCATTTGCAAAACAAATTGTACATCAAAACCAGGAAATTAACAACATTGTGAAATACAACCACATATATATGTGAAATACCATTCCAAAACATATTTTGCACAATTTAGAAACCCATCGATAACACACTAGAAGCCTTGTATTCTTTCCTCTATTAATGAAAAACAAATTTACAGCACATGTGCACCATGTGTGTTTTCACCAGGGTCATTCCCAGAATTACAGATTGTGCCAAGTTTGTAAAGTAAAAATCCACAAGCTATTTTTACTTTACAAATGTTGCACATGCACAGTATTGCCTTGCTTGTATGACATGCAACAACTTGAACACACCATGAAGGCAAAACTCAGGCTCACGACCTTGATTTTTTTTTTTTTGTTGTCTCTAGATTTACAGGGTAAATAATTAATGCATTCAGAATCTTCTTCCAGGTAAGGGATAAAAAAGTTATTCACAGTTTGGAGAATAAATCTGAATGCTCAGTTTAATGAGTAACAGCTATGGCAATTGCAGGGTTTTGGTAACAGTTCAGTAGTTGGGCTGAACCAGCACTGGTGGATTTGCTGTATGCAGTGGGCACAAGCCCAGAGAAGCACAAAGTGAGACTTTGCATTCCATTATCTTCAGATGTTGAAAAGATATTTAATGACATTTGTGTAGCTCAAATGGAGACATTGAAGATGCACATTAGACTCTTTGAGACTCATGTTCCAAGTCTTTATTACAGGTAGATTTTGAGGCAGTGGAGTTACAGGGCATAAAAGTGCTAATGTAGACTGAAAGAGAAAGGAGAGGTAAGTACCCTCTGATGTGAAGTAGCAGCAGTGGTTGACAATGACACAGTAGTTTATGATTGGCTTTCACAATGAAAAAAGTGCATGTCTGCAACTTCATTATTGCAGAACCATTCTTCTGCTCTGTTGAATATATTTGACATGCAACCCATCAAACGTATTCCAGGTCAGAGTCCCACTGCAACTTTCACAATTCCTTGTTAACACTGTTGGTGCTAAAAAAAGAAAGTTTCCTTCTTCTCCATCCAAGAGGCTCATTACTGCTTGTCAAGTAACTTTTCAAGTCTAGCACCTCTTTGCTGCCTTTGTCTGGAACACGTTAGTCATAAATAATACCAAACATCAGCCAGAAATAAGAAAATCCTGCTGACTCAGCAGCTATATTTTACAGCAGAGGCTACTCGACAAGCAAAAATGGATTTCAGACAAGCAGAAAAGGTTCCCTCCAGGGAGAAGATGGCAAGGAAGCAGACTCTGAGGGGGGCCCACAAGGCTCATTGCAATGCTGATTGGGAAACTACCATTGCCATTTTTGTGGTTGAATTCTAAGGCTTGTGAATGACATGGCATGCCAGTTCCTGAAGCAACAGAATGTTGGTGACACTAAGGCTTTCATCTAGAAATTAGGTGAAATCCTAATCATCCCAAACTAAAAGATAATTATAAACCCAGGTATGAGCTACCTCTGATAGTTTTTTATCACCTCTGGAAGTTTATATGCCAGGAACCTCAAGCAAGAAGCTTGCTAAGGGAAAAGCCTGAAGCCATCACTTAGACAGAGAGGATGCTACTGGCCTCAGGGCAAAACTTCTGATAGCCTTGGACACCTTTTCTATTGCGTGTCTGATTCTTCAAAGCAAAAATTGAAGAAACTCAAGCCACTAGCTCAGCCTGTTAATTTAAACAGGCGGGCTGCTACTGCAGCTTGGCAAGTCTCTACTGTGCCATACTGCCTACCTATGGCAGGCTGCATGAAATGCACCATTTTTCTGGAATTACAGCTTCCAATCAGTTGGCTGCAAGTGCACATACAGTGTTCTTTGCAGAAAGACAGATCCATCTTTGTCTCGCTTTCAAAGATGCACTGCATGCTCAGCAGCATCTCCCTCATAAGAGGTTCAACCTTTTAAACACTGAACTTAAAATTCATGCTGCAAAGTTAATTCCTCAACACTTTACTTCATGTTTTTCTACACTGAGAAACACTCAAACTCTAGTTATTGTTATCCAGCTTTACAAATATAGTGATAGATTTTCCAGAAGTGCACTTATCTTCTACAAGTGACTGTACAATGCCCACAATTACTCCCACTACTATTTCGCAACTCAATAGGGTATTGAACAGCGATCACCCAAGTTTCACCATTTAGAAAATACAGTATTTAAAGGGGCAAAAAATAATATACCGAAATTTAAGAAAATAAATATATTATGGAAGAGAGCTCCCACCTGCTTTTCAGTGTCACCACTGGGAAGCTGGGGGAGGAACGATAAACCTTATGTATTTACCAAGCTCTGTGTAAGTACTTTCTCAGACTTCCAAGCTGACACTCATAGGTCAGCTTCAGGTCAAGAATATTTCCATGTCAGAGCACTTGTAATATTATTAATGACACACCTACCTTCTGCCTCTAGCATTCACATTTTAACTCTGGTCCACAACCTTTGAACTCCTCCTTCTCCACCTGATGAATACTTACAGTAAGAATCAAAGTTTTCCAAGATAAAAACTAATGCAAACACAATGCTCATCCCTGCAAGCTAACATTTCCTGCAAGCTGTGAATGCTCTGCTTTGGGCAAGGGGTTTTAACACTGCAAGAACCAAGGAACGGTGAAACATGAGTCTGCCAGACTCAGTCTTGTGTCCTGAAAACCCATGAGAAGTTAGATTAATAAGCTATGGGAAGATTAATCAAAATAATTCTGGAAGTGTGTTGCAAGGGAAACAGATTGCAAAAACAGCCCAAGAAAAATATCTGGCAAAGAAGCAAGCCAAAGACACCTATTTTTTACATATGCTAGTTTATACTTAACAGACACGCCTGAAATTCCATGGAGAACAGCTCCTACCACACAGTGCAGCCTTATTTTATCTAAGTAAGTGTGTGCATGGAAAACAAACACATTTCTGGGGAGCTTGAGGGGGACACACAAGGTTCCAGTGCAAACTTTATTCAGAGCTCACAAAAGGCTCCTCAGACTTATCCTTTCTCCTGGTCAACAAAAGCACTGTGGAAACTGGGGGAAAAAAACCTAGAAAAAGCAAGTAGTAATTCCTCCTCCTGTGAGGGAGGAAGTGGGTCCAAATCACACTTGATATAAGCACCAGCTTTTCAGAGACCAGGCTAAATGCATTTCAGAGGCATTTTAAGAAATTTGCACTGGAAAATACTTCTGAATGTATTTAGAGGTTTGGATGCTTCTTCCTCCCTTAAAAACCCCAAACCCACAAAGACCAACTAACCAAACCCCAAGAAAAAACAAACAAAACAAACAAACAAAAAACAGAGAAGAAAAACACATGGTCTGGAGCTATAGATGCCTAAACCTCCCTCCATTCTTCCAAGGCAACGCCTATATAATGCTGTCCAGAATTTCTTCCACACAAACTTGAAAGAAGCTAATAATGGAGATGCTGTTATCAGCCGAAAGAGGACCTACTAAATAACTGAAAAGGAATTGAGCTTGCTGTCATGTAACTTCTAAGAGCATTAAGGTGATAACAAGGACCAAGTCACTTGGACTTTCCCAAGCAGGTTGAAGGGATTTGGCTGGACTTTCTCCTCATGCAAGCCCAAGGTATTGGTTATCCATCTGTAGAAATTATCAGTTGAGCCCAGAGCTCAGTCTGGTACATCAGTATTTTACTAATAGTTCTGTGGCTATAAATGATGGTTTAAGTAGCTTGTTAAACTAACATGCTCTGGTGTCCAGAACAACTGTGGAAGGCACAAGTCCCCTGTGGTGTGAGGAAATCTGCTGACAGGACAGGCAATGTAGTATCTAAGGGACAGTTTGTAAATGCTTTCTCCAGATAGCCAGGAATGCTGTGACTTGGATGTCAGGTCTCAGTTGTTTGTCATGCAAACCATGTGTTATATTTTGTCCAGTATCAAAATACACAATAGCTGAAAAAATATTTATAGGAAACCAGAAAAAAGCAAGTATGAGAATGATGACAAAACTCCATGAACAAGGGAAATACAGATGGCTTTTTGCAAGGGCTTTCTGGTGTAACAGTGGAGAAACAGAAGACAAGAAGCACCGAGTGCTGACCTTGTCTCTCCAACAAGCCCAGGGTGTCAGTGTTTACATTTTGTCTTAACCTAACAGTGCTCCAATATCTTTATAGAAAGAAGAAAAGCAAAATAAAGTAATAGAAAAAAAGAGCAGAGAAAATCATCTGGGTGGAGGTATTTCTGCATCATATTACAGGGAGGAAGTATGTAACCCCTCTGTAAGCAGTGCTCTATACACAGAAATAACTCAAAGCACCTTTCAGAGTAAGTATTCTCTCAGAGTTAACACCAGTGCTCATCTCACAAGGTGAGACTACCATTTTTTTAAAGGAATTGAATGTAGCATAGTATCAGGAAGATAAACCAAAATCCATGCCAAAAACAAAAGGACTGTCAACACCCATTCTTGCTAGTGTTTCCCAAAATTTCCCAG